GGCTCAGAAACTCTGGCATTTGAAGCATACAAGTCTTAAAGCTGTCAAGTTACAAGACCCTTGCACCCACCCTTTAGAAAAAAAACCCAGGGGTGTTCAAACTTGATAGCTTTAAGACTTGTGGACTTCAACTCCCAGAATCCCTCCCACAGTCATGTTGGCTCAGGAACTCTGGCATTGAAGCTGTCAAGTTACAAGACCCTTGCACCCCTAACTTTAGAAAAAAAAAACCAGGGGTTTTCAAACTTGACAGCTTTAAGACTTGTGGACTTCAATGTCCAGAATTCCTCCTCTCACTCTTCATCTTGATGATGTGCGGACGGGCGGGGGGAGGGAGCTGGAACCGGTTCTAAACGGCATGGTAGATTTGTGGAACCTCTTCTACAGAAGGGGTTAGAACTGGCAGGAACCCACCCTTGACTGGAACACATTGCTTATTGCATGTGATGTTTTGGGGTGGAGTGGAACTTGTGCTTATATTCATGCATGTGTGTTCCTTATTGTGTTGCAGAAAATAACAGGGCTTAGACGTCTCAGGATCAAGGAGAAGTTTATTTGGCAGCCAGGTTCAGAAAAGCTAGTCAGAGGCTAGCATGTAACTTCTGAACAAGTCTTCTAATGGAAGCATACATTCTTATACATTGTCAAAAGCAGCACAACACGGAAATTCTTAACCCATTTCTGATTGGTTATCTTGAGGAAAGACACCTTATAAGCAGATACTGTCTTACTTCCCCTTTTGTCTGGGCTGCAGGTATGGAGCTCTAGTCTCATAATGGCTACGTGGCTTTGTAAGAACTTTAGCTGAACTCTGTGGTTTTGTGAGAACTTTAACTGAACTCTGCGGCTTCATATATTCTTTTGCAAGCTTCAAACTTGTCTTTTACTTTATAATAACAAGATGAAAGGGGCCCCAAGAGGCTATCCAGCCTGACCCCATATGTTCACTCTTAATGTCCAAATCTTACTTTATGTCCTATTTTAATTGGATAAGATAATGAACCACATGTATTTATACATGGCAAACTAACAATTTCTTAAATTCTACCATTTATATTCAATTGCTGTAAAGTTAAAGACAAGCAGGCAAATCACAAGAAAGTGAAAAATTTGAATAGGAAACACTTCGCAGTAGAGACAAAGGCCCGTTTCCTTCATTTTTGGTGCTAGTGTTGCTTCTAAAAAACAGGGTGATTATCTTACCACCCTACCTCCACCTTCAAGTCCCAGATTTAAGGTGATCTACAAAATAACCATGGCACGTGGTGGCTAAGTCGCTGAGCTTGTCGATCAGAAAGGTCGATAGTTCGGCGGTTCGAATCCCTAGTGCTGCGTAACGGAGTGAGCTCCATTTAATTGTCCCAGCTTCTGCCAACCTAGCAGTTCAAAAGCATGTAAGAATGCAAGTAGAAAAATAGGAACCACCTTTGGTGGGAAGATAATAGCACTCTGTGTCCCTTTGGCGTTTAGTCATGCCGGCCATATAACTACGGAGACGCCTTTGGACAGTGCTGGCTCTTTGGCTTTGAAACGGAGATGAGCACCGCCCCCTAGAGTCGGGAGTGACTAGCACATATGTGCGAGAAATTCAGAAAATAACCTTTTCTGCTCAAGATGCCAAGGAAGCTATTGTGTCTACCAGGTTAAGTCTTGTTTATTGATAGATATGCAGAGACAAGTGAGAGAAGGCAACACATGCCACTGTCTTTAATTTATTTTAAAAAGTTGTATTGTATTGTACCTACTTGCATATGGCGACTCAAGGTAGCTTACAGGAATATTAAAACATATATAAAAAAGAAAACAATCAAATAACAAATTAATAAAATAATATAATAGCATCCCATCCTCACCACAGTAACAATACATCACACAAGCCATTTAATGGACTCCGTCCCACTCTGGGTTCCCCAGGCCTGCTGGCAGAACCAGGTCTTCAGTGGCTTCTGGAAGATTGTTAGAGTGGGGAACATTCTAATATCTGGGGAAATGGATGTTCATTAGCCTATCATGGTTTTCAAAGTATTTTCCCTTCTATCAAGGAAAATATGCTTTACTAACCAGCAACTGAATGAGCATAGGTCACATCACTGCATGCTATTACATTGTAGCAGCATTAGATAGGTAAAGTGAATAAATAACTGTACCTAAGTAGGGTATAGGCTTCATTGTGCCTTCAGCATCAGGAAGTGAAAATTTTTAATCTTGCCCTTTGAGCTGTTGAACTTCAAGAGCCGAGGTGGCGCAGTGGTTAAATGCAGCACTGCAGGCTACTTCAGCTAACTGCAGTTTTGCAGTTCGGCTGTTCAAATCTCACTGGCTCAGGGTTGACTCAGCCTTCCATCCTTCCGAGGTGGGTAAAATGAGGACCTGGATTGTTGGGGGCAATATGCTGACTCTGTAAACCGCTTAGAGAGGGCTGAAAGCCCTATGAAGCGGTATATAAGTCTAACTGCTATTGCTATTGCTATTGCTATAAACTGGCAAGAGAGATGAATCTTGATCTTCATAAGAAAATCAGTTTAGTGCAATGAAGGTAGAGTACTGGTATTACCTACTCTATTGAAAAATCTCAAATTATAGTGAGATGGGCAGCATATAAATTTATAAATAAAAGAAAGCTCCTTGACTGATTTGGGACTACTAGCTCTTAAAACTAATAATTTTAAATGGCTGATACAACAGCAAAATCTCCTGCTCCCCTGTGAATATATGATGCTGTTATATGACCACAGCAGGATTTGGGTTCATTTCTCCCAAGTATGTTTTTAAAAGTCTTCTATCCTTTAAGAGAATATGGGAATTCACTTCAGCAAGAGATGCTGTTTCATCAACGGCCAAGCATTATTAGATTCATCTCAGGGAAAAAAAAGATTAAGATTCCAGGAATCTCAGTTTTTATGATTAAGTGATACACACCAAAATACAGACATTTACAAAATAAATTGGACTTAGAATATTATGCTAAGAACTTAAGCAAAACATGTAAACTTCAGGATTTTTTAAAATTCTAACAATGTATTACTTCCAAATGCAGCTAATATGATACAGAAAATATAATGGGGTAAACTTTAAATACTAGTAGACAGTATTAGTTTTACTCTATGTTTAAGTGAAGAATATGGGAAAACATAGTTTAAACATTTCTTAGGAAACCTTTGGGCTCTTATGTTTTTTGTATTTGTACATATGTGGACAAGCAAATACTCATTTACAGGTAGCCCTCGATTTACAACCAACAATTCACCCAAAACTTCTGTTGCTAAGTGAAATAGTTAAGTGAATTTTGCCCCATGTTATGACTTTTCTTGCCACAGCTGTTAAGTAAATCACTAATTGTGAAGTTAGTAATAGATTGTTAAATGAATCTGGCTTCCTCATTGCTTGTCAGGTCACCAAGGTGACCCCGGCACATGACTCTGGGACACTGAAATCAAAATAAATGTGTCAGTTGTCAAGCATCTAAATTTTGATCATGTGACCAAGGGGATGCTGCAATGGTTCTAAGTGTGAAAAATGGTCATAAGTGACTTTTTTAGTGCTGNCCCACCATGAAAGCTGGAACACCCACTAGTGGGCGGTAGGGACCAGGTTGACTACCACTGGATTAGGTAAAAAAAAAAATTACAGAACAGGAAGCAGTGGGAAAAATACTTTTTCTGCAGTGAAACAAACTATATATATTTGCATATATGCATAAACAGAAGAAAACAGCTTCCAGATCAGTTTCAGAAGCTTCGAAAAACATGCCCTTGATCAAAATAGTTTTTTAAAAGTGCTTTGTTTCCATATGTTCTGAATAGCCTGTTTCAGTCAATTTGGACAGCCAGTCCTATAAATTATCAGTTCTTGCAATGGAAATGTTGCACAAGAGTGGAGATTGGAATGCTATAAATAGTTATGGGTGCACCAAAGCTTTTGTAACTTTAGATATCTGGATTTGAATTGAATAATCCAGATTCAAAGGCAACATACTACCAATACCATTCAATATAGAACAAAACAATAGAGAACAAATATGTCACCTTGCTCATCTTGGTTATGATATTCAACATATATTTTGTTGATCATTATATGATGCTGAATATATTTTTATAAAATTAACATGTTTTCTCCCTCAAATTATCAGGATTTAAATGATAAAATATTATTTTAGGGCTAAAATATGTAATTTTATATTTAAAAAGGAGTTGTTCCTTTTGGTAACCTAATAGCTTTTAGTTATATAAAATATTTAAAATTTAAAACATTTTGAAGTACTCCAATTTGAATTCAATGCACTCAAAATGCTCAACTCATAAAACTTCAAAATAGTTGTTCTGAATTTGAGATAGAACACTGAGTCCAAATCATTTTGAATTTAAAATGTTTTATGTACCTCCAACAGATTCTTATCCCATTTTCAGCTTTTATCTCCAAATCTATTCTAATGAAACATCCTCTGAGACAAAGAGAAACTTGTGTTGCATAGCTGCATAATATGATAATCTAACTCAGCAGTCTTAAAATTGTTTCAGATTTAACCAGCAGTATTCAATAATGTAATTAATTAGTTACAGTTTAATATAATTTGAATATAATAAAGTATGATAAATATAATAGCTATAGTTTTTCTAAATGGTAAATAGAAGCACAATCTTACTGGTGTAATTTCTGTATTTGTACTGATCGTTCCATCAGGAATGTTGGTGCCAAGAGATAGTACAGCATTTCTATCTTGTGTCATTAATGAAGAAAATTGAACACTGTATGAATGTAGTTGCAGTTCTGGTAAATATGCACGTCTTGCTGCTTCTGAAGGAGCCTCTTCAGATACTTTTTCATATTTTCCAAGGTCTTCATCACAATAATCTTGTGTAGACGGCTGCATTTTTACTTCTAGCACTGCTTTTTCATTTTCCCTGTTAAGTGTATGTTTCAAATGATCAACTGCAGTTTCACCTGTGCAGTTTAAACAAGCATCTTGACTACAAAGGGCTCCCTTTTCAACTGGTTTATTTAGTAAATCAATTTTAAGATTATGGTTTTCAGAGCTAAACGCAAGTCCTTTATCTGTCCTGGAAATTCCAGCAAGAATTAGATGATTTTCTGCAGGTACAGTTAAACTTTCAGATTGGCTATGTTTCATCTCAATGGAAACACGTCCTATAGCAGTTTTCATCTTGGTAAATGTATCAGCTTCAAAATAAGCAAAAAAAAGTAATATAAAGCTCTCATCACAAATTTAAATACTCTTCTCCATATATAGTCAGACAGTATATTAAATATTAAGTTATACTCTATACATTAAGTACATTCATTATACTACATATTTAGGCACCAAATTAGAAAACAGAAAACTAGTTCTAGTTGTGTTTTAGCCATGAAAGCCAGCTGGGTGACTTTGGGCCAGTCACTCTCAGTCCAACACACCTTAGGGTAGTTGCTGTGGAGACAATTGGAGGAGGAAAATGTGTTGGACATATTCACTGCCTTGAGTTATTTGTAAAAATAATAGAGGTGGGATACACATACATATGGAAAAAATATTCTAAGTAGATGGCAATACTTATTTTGAAATTGATTATATATGAACTTCTATGCTTATTTAAATAGTGTTACATATTTGCATTTTAAATGCATTAATATGAGAAACCTCAATCACATTGCAATTTTTTCTATACATCTGAAATACTAAAATGCTTTTGTTACAAAAGAAGAGTAATCTGTATTAGACATAGGTGAAGATTTTATTTTATCATAACTGATACCTCTGTTTCTATGAAAATATACACCTATGGCAATATAAATATAATCCTATACTTTGGAAATGTTAGTATGTTGCTTATCTATTAGATAACTATTAGAACTCTCATTGTCATGACTTTTAACTGGGTGAAATGGTGCGTAATAGGGCAATATTTTTTGAACCAAGGTACATCAAATGGATTAACTTACAGAATGTGCCCAAATCCAAGATTCCAGATTCCTAAAGTAATGAAAGATGGAAACATTGTGTGGTCATGTGATCTTCATTTTCAATGTTTTGTGACAGCTACCAAGCCAGTCTCACAATCCCTTGCTCCCCTCTCTGCACAACAACAGCCATTTATCTGCCTGCTGGGAAGGGAAGGTCCTACTGCTTTTTTGCACAGCCTTGGTCATTCTGTTTCTCTATGTAGGTAAGAAAATATCTCTGAAACAATGGCTGAATTGGGCATTGGTCTTCTTGTTAGATTTATAAAATGAGCATATTTATTTTTGTATTCTGGTCATAGTCAGTTTAGAATTAAAGTACAAACAATCATGGTTTCATATCAGAATGAAACAATCTAAAAGATGAATTCCCATTTCAATTTGTGATTTTTTAAATTACAATTTACTAATTTATATTCCTCAAGGTATACTGAATTATCTTTCTACATACTAACTGCTTCAAGGATATTATAGACTTTATACTGCAAAAGTCATATGATTCTCTCACTGAAAGAATAGGGGGGGCAAGGATAGTTGATGCGCAAAATATACATTGCAACGCTTATTGCAAAGCCTCTCAACTATCAAACGACAACC